GACTCCTTGGCAGGTACACCATGCGGTGGCGGCGCACATTACCGGCTATAGGCAGCAGCAGCAGCAAACACATCCCAACACCACAGGACCTCAGGCTCCACCTTCCACGGACAGTCACCAGCTACAGCAAGGTACAGAGTCCAACACAGGTGCCCAAACTGTTCGGCCGGTGGACACACAGCTTCCAAACCCAACCACCAGCAACACCAATCATGTGCCACACGGGCAGGCCACCTTCACAGGTATCAACACTACCTTTGCAGGTACCAATACAAACTCATCCAGAGCAGCCGTACTCCAACTACCACACGATGATGCAACCATGGTGAGGACTCCAGTATCAGGTATGCAAACTTCTAATGCAGCAGCAAACCTGGCTCCCAACGTGAACCATGAAAACAACTGCACTCAGACGGACAGGTACACCATCCACATGCCGGCCTTGCTGCCTGGAGTCAGGTGCTATACCGACGCATCCTTGCTGCCTGACCACACATTGTCGCCACCTAGAACGGCTGGCATTGGAATTTTTCTAGTAAACACGCAGGTACAACCGGTGCAGACAATCTACATCAAGGCCCTCATGTCAAGTGCCCACTCTGTCATCATGGCTGAGGCTGCAGCTCTTGCACTAGCAGCAATGGTTGCCGATCTACTCAACTTCACCAACATAGCATTCTTGTCTGACTGTAACCAGTTGGTTCAGTTCCTGAATGCTGATGATCAGAACCATCCTCCGGACTGGAGAATAAAACCTTTCACCTAGCTCTTCGCCAACTGTGCCACTCGTCGACGTGCAAAGATCTACAAGATCAGTAGGACCCTCAATACAACGGCTGATGCCCTGGCTAGACAGGCCTTTTCTGTAACTGTTCCTACAAATGAAGCTTTTGAGCCTGTATGTTCCCACAGCAGCCATAGTCACCAGTGCCCTTTTTTGGCAGCACTGACTTCTGTAAACCTTCACTCTGTAAGGTTGCTAGCAGCTTCTTGTTGCTGAAATAAAGTTGTTTCTTCTAACAAAAACGTCAAAAAAATTGTCAAAATCTGTTCTCCTATTGAGAGTCCAGCATATGACCTGATTAATTAGCATGTCCTGCTGCTCCTTGGTTCCTTCCGTGACCTGCCCTTGTCATTAGAAGTGGTTGGTCAATGGTCTAATTGCGATCAAAGAGTGCCGAATATTTTACTTCCAATTATTTGAAGAACTCAGTTTTTGCTAGCGATCTAATTGTCCGTACCGTGAAAGATTCGGAGAATTATTTATGCATCGTAGGCGTGTCCTTATCACTTCACCCGCAACTACTCTGTTCGTCTCGACCTTGTTTGGAGCGGTCGTCCCAGCTCCGACTCCGACTCTACGTGTACCCTCTTCTTCGGTCCATCCATCTGCTCCCCCACGTTATGTCCGTGGATGGAGCTCGCAGTCGCGTGGATGTGGAAGTGGAACACACCCAGCCACACCACCCTGAAGCTGAATCTTTGTTCGAGGTTCCTGCGCCGTCCTCGCCTGACGCCTCCACGGGCCCTCTACTGTGGCCAGCGCGGCTCAAGCTCACCCCACTGCCTTCACCTGTGGTCGGTGTGGCTTAGGCTCTCTCCTTGTACCCCCACACTGTCCTCGTCTCACGCTGAAGTATCTCGGTGAAAGGATCATGGATGGCTACAGTGGGGATGAATAGCCTATTAAAAGCTCTACAAACACAAAAGACACTGTATAAGTGTATTAGTAGGAGAGACAATTTTAATAACCACTAAGTGCATCACAAAACACCTTTTATTAGTATATAGCACGCGTGACAAGGCACCCTTAGCTACTCACATTTGCAGATAGTGGATGTCTAGCGCCATTCCTATACTAGAGTATATGTTCCATTCATCTGGGAGGTTGAGCTTTCAAACAAGAATAATATCCTGGCAATTGAGTGTCCTGGCAAGAAACTATTAAATATATAATACCATGCGTGATGTCACGTGTCCAACACAAGGAATTTTTGTTGAGGAAATCTCTGGAAGAAATGAAGAAATCTTGCATCATCAGATGCTTGCTGGGGAATACTCCGGGACAGCTCAGGGCACAAATATATACACACACTAACTAAAACAAGCAGATCCCAAGACGCAGCTGAAGGGTAGAAGACGAGGTTGGGTTCAACCACCCCGTCAAATAGTGTGCAACTGCCCACACTATGGTCAGAAAGCCAGTGGCCATTGTGCGTGGTGTGCCTTCCGTCGACCGCAGATCGCGAACGTGATCCATGATGGGGAAGATATTGACAAGACCATGACGCATTGACGCGTTCTTTCGCCTGGCCAACCAAACACTGTTCATGCTTCGTCCCCACAAGATTAGGAGTATAATGTTTCTTTATAAAAAAGAGAAATTTATGGCTGGAGATCATTATTTCGTTTTTATTTGGCATGTTATGCTTGCTATTACTTGGAGTCGGTTGATGTCCACAAACACTATAACGTTAAATTAATTTTTGACTTTATTGTTGACACTAGTAGTTGGTTTGGGTGTTAGACCACACAAATGCTTCAAGACGTTGACATCTTCCTACTAAACAGTACGTTAATTAGCAAAATCTCAGTCATAGAGGATCTCAACTAGCTAGGCTCCCACGACCGTGGAACCAAGTGGAAAAAATTAAAAGAGGCAAGTGGATGGAACAAACTTCGGAGGTAATTAACTCTGTTAAAGGTTCTTTGAAAGTAAACGAGCTCAAATTATAGCCTCCCTCCATGCCAATTCATAAGACGTTTTGGCATTTTTAAATTCACAAATTTTGCTATGCATCTACGTATACACTACTTATAAAACGAAAACGACCGAGTTGTTCATAACTTCAAATTTGAGTAGGCTGAATATAGAAATTAAATTGGGAAGAATGGAAAGGATCTGTATCCCAACCCGTTTTTACCCTTACCCACCCTTAGTCATAAATGTATTTCAAGCGTACAGTGTGTCTAATCCATCGACGCCTAGAATTGGTTTTCATAACACACTTTCTATATAAGGCCCCGTTTGGCAGGGCTTCTCCACCAGCTCCAGGAGCCGTTTGGAGCCATTTTCTGCCAAACGGGGTAAAGTGAAATAGCTTCACTGGTGAAGCCCCTAAAAACATGCTCTCACAATGATTTGGGGTGGGATGGAGCCAAAAAAAAAAGTGGCTTCTCTCGTCTCCTCCTTCAGGCCCCTAAAAACATGCTCTCACAGGGAAGCCATTTTGTCAAACGGTTTACCAAAACCGCTTCAGCTCCACCGGTGAAACTGTTCGTGGAGCTGAAGCAAAAAAAAATGACTTCACTAGTGAAGTGAAGCCCTGCCTAACAAGACCTAAATATGACACTTTGGATTTAGGTTTATCAGAGAACGAAGTAGCGGATGTTGCGCTCATTTCCTAGGACCCATGTTGGTTGCTGTTGGCAGGTCATATACATTTAAATGAAGACTTCGTGTAAAAAAATCCATTCCACATGCCACAGATCCAATGTAGCGAATTAATCAAGGACTTCCCTAAATCAATGTAACGAACAAATCAAAGTTGATACCGTTATCGTTATGCATGTTCAGAAATCTCCTAGAGATTATTCTGTACCGCAATCTATTCCCTCGGTCCCTATTTAAGTGTCGTCATGGGTTCGTGTCAGTTAAACTTTCTCAACTTTGATTAAATCTATAAAAATTATTAAAAACATTTATATCTCCAAATAAGTTTATTATAAAAATCAATTCAACGATCTATCTAATGATACTAATTATATATTATAAATATTAATATTTTATTTTATATATTTAATTAAACTTAAATATGTTTAACTTTTTGGAAGCTAGAACGACGGAATAAAAAGGACAGAGAGATTGGATAGTTCCCTCCTTTTGGGCATCCACTGCATGCTTGTACATGTGTCACATAATAAAAAAATGTCGACGGTCTAGGTTATTTGGAATACCGTAAATTATGGGATTTAACTGTATTGTTTTTACATTATGAAGAGATGTGCCCTAAAAAAGGAGGGCATCTGTCGTATCGGGCTTCCGGAGATACTCATTCATAGTGATAGGACGTGTATGCGTATATTGAAGAGTAACTGTATGTGTATGTATTTACGAGTATCTTTGCTTGTACTGTTATTAAATTAAAAAAAATTGAGTGCACACAACGGATCCTGAACATTTGTGACGAAACCGGCAAAATTGTGGAGAACGGAACCAGTCACCTGTTTTTTTGTTTTGGTTCAGACGATGCGTTGGGTGTTGATCTAGTTGATTTTCTGTGCTCCAGCAGGCTCTCTTTAGTATCGCATCTGCTTTGGATTTGGATCCGTGAACTGTCGCCTGAAATTAAGTCATATTTCAGCTGGTCCCTTTTTATCGATCAAATATTTGGACCACACTTATTCGTTAGTTTTCATTTCTTTTTTTTAGAAAATTTGGCACGAGGTTAACTTCATGTTTGACAATCCTGCTACTGTATTTGAACCATGTCTTACCCGGACGCAAACACAATTGTTGAAACTCAGACCTATTTGAGCAGTAGCAATACAACAAGTGCACTGTGCACATGCCTCTACCGAGGTACTCCTAATTCACAGTACTATTAAAAAGGCAAATGCACATTTAGGCTATGTTTGAAACGCGGGAATTTTTTCATGTTCCTGTGTATTTTTCTATGAAAATAAATTGATTCTTCTAAAATTCCTGCACAATTTCTATAAAATTCGTACATTTCAAACATGGCCTGGTTCCACGTTTAACTTTGATCGGTGCTTCGACCCACTTTCCTAACAAGAGGGTAGAAAACTAGATTACTACGAGTACATGTCACTGCACGTGTAACTGAAGTGATTGGTGTCAGAGACCAACGTGCAGCCACGTCAAGCACAGTACCCTAGCGATAAACCCCTGCTCGTCCTCGGCTATATAAACCTCACCTGGCCACGCCAGATCATCAAGATCCGATCGGGAAATACATACATTATATACTACACAAAGCATGGCAGGAGCAGCAGCTCACCAACCCACTAGCCACGCCGACGACGGCAGCCCAGAATGGAGCGTCGCCGTGCCAGCCGCCGCGGCGGAACACGAGAACACCGAAAGCAGCCGCCGGGCGTGCTGCGCGTCGGCATTGGTGGTGGTGGTGCGTCGTCTCTTGTCGTGGTTGGTGGCGCCGATACACGGCATGGGCAGCCTCGCCACGACGGCGTGCCTGTGGCTGTTCTCGTTGGCGGCCGCGGCGCGGGACAGGGTGGTGGGCGTCGCTAGGATGGCGTGGAGGATCGGCGCCGACGACCCTCGGAAGGTGGCGCACGGGTTCAAGATGGCGCTCGCGCTCACCATGTGCTCTATCTGCTACTACGTCCAGCCACTCTACGTCTTCACCGGCCAGAATGCCATGTGGGCCGTCCTCACGGTCGTCGTCGTCTTCGAGTACACAGTTGGTAATTACCACTAGCTAGCAACAACCACTAGCTAAGCACCATAATCGATCGACTTCAGATCGATTACTGTATTTATTTCTGCTGCGTCTCTATCTATACAGGTGGCTGCTTGTACAAAGGGCTGAACAGAGCCATGGCAACGGTGACCGGCGCCGCGCTGGCCCTCGGCGTGCAGTGGATCGCCAGCAAGTCCGGCAAGGAGTTGGAGCCCTTCATCCTCAGTGGCTCTCTATTTGTTTTCGGTGCGTGCGTTGTTCAACTCGATCGATTAACCATATGTAGCTAGCTGTTGGAATAGTATAGATGCTGCTGTCTCTGCTTGTTGCAAAAAGTACAGCTATATATATACGAATGAGCTTGACGATACTGGCCTAACTAACAATTGTTGCGACGTGTATGAATGCAGCCGCCGCGGCCACCTATTCCAGGTTTCTGCCCAAGATGAAGGCCCGCTTCGACTACGGCGTCACCATCTTCATCCTCACATACACGCTCGTCGCGGTGGGAGGGTACCGCGTCAACGAGGTTGCCTTCATGGCACAGCACCGGCTGACGACCATCGCCATCGGCGCCATGATCTGCTTCGCCGTCTGCGCGCTCGTCTTCCCGGTCTGGGCGGGGAAGGAGCTCCACGACCAGGTCGCCCGCAACATGGACAAGCTGGCTGCCGCCGTCGAGAGCTGCGTCGAGGACTACTTCTCGGAGGCTACAGCCGGTGTCGACGTCGCCGCAGCAGCAGCTCCGAAGCCGGCGCTGTCGGACAAGTCACATGGGTACAAGGCAGTGCTGAACGCCAAGGCCTCGGAGGACTCACTGGGCAACCTGGCGACGTGGGAACCCGCACACGGCAAGTTCGGCTTCCGCCACCCGTACCATCTGTACCAGAAGGTCGGCGCAGCGATGCGCTCCTGTGCCTACTGCGTCGACGCCCTCGCTGCCTGCGTCGGCTCAGAGGCCCAAACGCCAGCGCACGTCAAGAAGCACCTCGCCGGCGCCTCCGCCGCTCTAGGCCGCCATTGCTCGGCCATGCTCCGCGAGGCGTCGGGCTCCGTTGCCTCGATGACGCGGTCCGGCCGCCTCGCCCTCGTCGTAGGGGACATGAACGCCGCCGCGCAGGAGCTGAGGGACGAGCTGAGGTGCCTCGCGCCGCTACTGGAGCTAGACGAGTCCACAGATACAGAGCAGGAGCACAACATTACAATGTCACCAGCACCGGCGCCGCCCCTCATCGAGGCCCTGCCCCTGTTCACAGCGGCCTCCCTCCTGCTGGAGATCTGCACGAGGGCGGAGGGCGTTGTTAGCGCCGTCGACAACCTGGCCATCACAGCGAGGTTCAAGAAGGCTGACCACGACGAGGAGACCACACACGACGTCGAGGCGGCCGTGCCCACAACCATGAGCACCATCCTCACGGCAGACGCGCCGCAGGAGACACACGATAAGGTTGCGGTCGACCACGGGAAGACGGAGACGCCAACGGACGAGAGCTCCGCCGACCAAACGCCTCGGGACCAGGTCGACGAGCTCCTCAAGGTGCTCATGCGACGGCGGAGCACCAAGAAGTGGGCGCGCGGTGACACCAAGGTGTGCCCGAAGCCGCCGCTGGACTTCGTGGTCCACGCACCCAGCCCAAGGAGCCGGTCCATGGAACTCACTGTCACGGGCCATGCGCAGGTCGCGCCCAGTCAGAGGCACCGCTCCGTCGAGCTCACCAGCCACCCGCCAGTCGCGCCCAGTCCGAGGAACCGGTCGGTGGACTTTGCCAGTAATGGACCTGTCCTACCAAGCCCCAGGAACCGGTCCATGGATTTCGGCAACCATAGGCCTGTCTTGCCTAGTCCTAGGCATCGCTCCATACTTGGGATGGCCTGATTCAAGGGAGAGACAGAGAGAGAGAGAGAGAAAAAATCAAGCTTCTTGTATGTACCCGGCCGTCATCCGAAAGGTAAAGATGTTGCTAAGATGAAGTGCCGGCTGGATAGAATGATACGACTGTGGTGTTTGATCATCCATAAGAACCCTGATAATCTGAAGCATTTGAGGTCAACTAGTCTTTGTATTGTGTTATATAGAATTATTCGAAGGTGCTTTCGAACCGCCCCAAAGCTATATTGCCGGAGATTATTTCTTTGAATTAGAGTGCTTTTGTCCTGGTGTTTGATCATCGATAATGTCCTCTCCTTACTTATGACCTTACGTACTTCCTGCAAAATAAAAGAAGGATAGACAGTTTGGCTGGTTGGATATATGAGTAAAGCTTACGATCGAGTTGAATAGGAAATTTCTAAGAAGAATGTAGCTTAAACTGGGCTTTTATCGAACTTAGGTGGCCGTGACAATGAATTTAGGCAAGGATGAGCTGATAGGTAACATAATCCCTGAACGTGGCTGTTGACACCGGATGGGGTTCCGGATCACACACCTGCAAGGGCCAGCACTTTCGCGGTCGACACATGAACCTAGATCACAACAAGAACGCAGCGGGATCGACGAAACCGATCTAGAGACCAACCAGGCCGATGTTAAACCCGTTCTTCGCCTAGAAGACTCTTGAACACCTCCCGGAAAGACCCGTCGGGAAGGAGCACGTGAGGTTCTCCTAGGGTCAGCAAGGCACCTAGAACGCCGCCAAATCTCACCGAGGGACGTGACGAACAACAAGGTAGAGCGAGGAAGAGGTAAAAGGGTTGTAGTAGATGTATTTTAACGATTGGAAATTGGGGTCCTCAATCGGTCATGATCTTCTCATATATATACTAGGGTGAGGAACAAGCCCAAAACACGTTCTCTAAGTTTCCCACGTCCAAAGTAGGTCCAAAACCGATTTGAAAATCAAATCTACTCTAATAGCAGGAAAAGTCGGCTGAGTCGACCCCAACGTCGGCTGAGCCGATTTTATCGGGCCCGGGCGCTGTGGCTCGGCTAGCAACAGAGAGGAGTCAGCTTAGCCGGCTAAGATGACTTGGCGAGCCGGCCAAGCTGACTCTAGTAGGGCAGGCGTGGCTTCCTCCTTTTTTTGCCTGTTTCTCTTGCTACTTGACGCGCCAATTAATTTCCAACATGTCCCTGATGCTAAGAACTTGCTGATGTCAATGTTCCATGCTGAGACATTTTTTAGTGTCTATTTTTAGGTGAATGAAACATGAACAAGAAAACACAATTAAAGCACTAAATAGCAATAATACCCAACTCATCGGCTATCTAGCATCTAAGGTGATGTATATATCGGTCATATTTATTCTAAGGACGATACATATAACCGTCATTGTTTGGAAAGCACTCTAGACTTCTTGCCAAACACTTGGAAAATATTTCTTCAAGTACCTTTCGTTGATTGTTCTTGGGAGACTATCAACTTGCAATGTCATCGGCAGATATGAACTCCCAAATGTCACTTTGAACACTCTATAATTAAGGACCCTCCAAACTTGGCGACTGTTCGCCAAACTTGTTGCTCTTCGTTCCAAGTGGTAGTATGGTTTTCCACACTAAACCACCAACTTGGAATGACTTGCTTTTGACTTTCTTATTATAAGCCTTGGCAACCCGAGCTTTGTCTTTCACCATCTCCTTGAGAGCCTTTAATCTTTTATCGGTCATCTCGTCGCCATTATCTATCATTAAATCATGATACATAACGGCAGAGAAATCATTTTGTTTAGCAAGCCTATATGCATCTAAATTTAGCTCGATGGGTAATACGGCCTCTTGCTCATATACCAACTCAAAAGGAGTAACTTTTGTAGCATCATGCCTAGATATGCGAGGTGCCCATAGAGCTTCAGATAAAACCTCATGCCTAGATATACAAGGTGCCCATTTAGCTTGATTAAAGTCTTATTACTAGACTCGGCCTGGCCATTAGCTTGAGCATAATATGGAGATGAATTGAGCAACTTGATCTTATATAATTCGATGAAATCCCGTACCTCCTCTGGCACAAATGATATTCCTTGATCCGTAGTTAATATTTGGGGAATGTCGGATCTATATATGATATGCTCAGTAATGAACTCAATCACCTCCTTATGTCTTATATTTTTCAAAGAAACTGCTTGTAACACCTCTGGTGTTACGAGCTTGCTTAGCACCTAGGTTAATGCCTAAGAGAAATTAGCAAAATAAGTTTTCGGGTTTTAAAGTTTAAAGCACACATAGAATTATAAACGAATCTTATGTGACTTGCTTTCGTGAATAAAACAAATAAATAAGTGTCGCTAGTCAATTTGCCTCGGTGCTTAACAACTTTTAAATAATCTTGTGGACAAAAGTTGTTTATGGATTGTTTTGAAAAAGTATGAAGAAAGTGCTTAAAAATGCCTGATAGCAAATAAATAGCGAATGGCTTGTTTATTTGATTAAGCATAAAATACATTTTTTATAAACAAAAATAAAATATAACTTGTAATTGATATTTAAATAAAAATTGAAGTACATGTTGTGTAGAGGAAAATGCAACTTTGGTTTTGGAGGAAGAATATTATTAACTAGGGTTTTTGCCAGCTCAAAAATTGAATTTAAAATTTAAAAAACAGCTTCTCGCGTCAATGGTAAAAATCTGAAATTATATTTAAAAGCAATGTTTGTGGCGATTTGTTTTACGCAAAATAATTACATAACACCCTAATGTTTTATTCCATGGCTTGGTATGGAGTATGAGCTATCGCATGAAATGTTTATTGGTGGAAGTCAATAGGATTTAGACCTTTTAAAGTTGCCGACAAAGTGTCGATGTTCACATCCGCGTCGCGTCGTCTCACGCACAGGCACACAGCCAGCAGAGCCACGCGACGCCCATGTGTTTGGCCACAGCGTGCTCCCTCGCGTCTGTTCCGTAGCGCATGGAACATGCGCCGTCCTTGCTGCTGCCGCACTGCCCCATTCACACTCAAGTGGAGGCCGAGCCCTCGTGCTGCTTCCTCTCCTTTCTTTTTCTGCTACCGAGAGGGAGGCGCCCCAGCTCCTGCTCACCCTCCCCGCTCTGTTTTCCCCTCAGCTGCGAGCCCCCCCTGCGTCCCTGCTCGAAACGACCCTGACCTGCGCTCTGCCCGCCAAGAAGACCCTGGCCGCAGAGCCGCTACCGTGCTGGCGCGCCGACGTCGCCGTGCCGCGCTTCCTGCCCCTCCCGAGCGCCTTCCCCACCGCTACTCACCCTGCCCTACTGGAGCCGCGGTCGCGGCCTCTGCACGCCGTCGTGCGCGTGGGCGACACGCTGCAAGCACCTACGGCCGCTCCCATCTCCCGGCCACTACGTGCGTGAGCGCGCCTGAGCCCCGCGCTGCCCCACGCCGCTCCACCTCCGTTGCCACGCCCCGCAGCGTCCCTGTCGTCGCCCACTGCTGCCGTTGCGCCCCAACCGGCCACCAGCGCTCACGGCTGGACCGCCTCGGGCTGCCCCTGGCCATGCCACCAACGCCCACGGGAGCGGCAGTCACCCTCGCTGCTCCTGCGCACCACCTCCGTCATCGCCGGCCACCCTCCGTGCCGAATCAGCCGCCAGCCGGTTCCCCTGCCCATGCTTTGCTTGTGAGGAGGACGAGAAGGACCACCATGAATAGAATTTTTCCAGGGTCCCCAATGTAAATCTCTGACTCATATGAATAGTGTTGCATAGTGCCTAAAGTACTGCGGGTTGATTTGAGGAAAGCTCAGGGGCCTCTTCACAAATGTACCACCACCGCCTTGCCCTAGCCGTGTGGGCTGGCTTGCTGGGCTACCGCCTGTTCCACCTGGGTCATCGGCCACACGCCCCGTATGGGCCAGCCTTGTGCCGCCCGCGCCTGGGCCGCACGTCCGCGTGGGCCGCCGCGGCTGCGAGCTGGCCGCATAGCCCAGTGCCTGGAGGAAATTTCATTTTCCTTTTTCTTATTTGCATAAACTTCATAAATCCGCCAAAAAGTGTTGAAAAATCACAAAAATGCTAAACCAATTTTGTTATGTTTCTAAAATCATGATCTGTGTGATAGTGTATTTTGTTCGCATAGGTTTTGTATATTTTTAGGGTTGCTCTAATTATTTTAACATGCTTAATATTGTTAAGACATAAACTTGTAGGAATTTCCGTGAATAATCGATGATAGTGTTAGCTCTAAAAATTTTACAGTAGGTTAGAAGTGTTATCAGGTGTTCTCTGTAATTTTGGTAGCCCACTAATAATTAGTTTACTAGAGTAGTTAATGTGCCCTAGTTTCGAGTATATTAAATCAAATAAATGAAATAAAGAAACATATAGGAATTGCATAACTAAAACACTTGTTGGGAAACGACACCTTTCTCAACAGTGTTGACACGTAGATTAGTACGTTAGTCATTAGAGCTAGCTTGTTAGTTCATAGTATGTGATCTGTTTTAAGAGCTGTTGTTGCCTTGTTAATTAACTATCGCACCATCTCTACATCACATTGCATACCATAATAGGGACAACGATGGATCGTGGAGTCATCGGGAGTTGCTGGTGAGATGGTACTTTTGGAGATCGTGTCGCCAAGATGGAATACTAACTTTTGGTTATATGTTACCCAGGCAAGCCCCGGTGCATAACCCCTACTTTTCTGCACTTTATATTATGTTGGTGCATTAAGTTTTAAGGAGTTCAATGAAACCCACTTGCATATATATACCTTTACCCTATGAGTCTTAATAGTATGATAGGATCGTGTAGATTGCTATAATATAGGACTCCGGTAGAAGTCAAGAGATTGCCTGTCACTCACGAGAGATAGAAAATATATTATTGTTGTTACGATACTATTATCACCTGGTGTCGGTGCAGAAAGTGACCAACACGTAAATATTTGTAGTTTTGTCGTACGTTGTGATATGACCACGTCATCAACCAACATGTTACAACCTCCAATTCAAGCAACACCAAC